TATGTTTTGTTTTTTTGGAAAAAAAAAATTCTTGTCTGTCTGTTTCCTTAATCGTCTATGTTGTCCCTGCCTCAACCCTGTCCACCTGGGGCTGGTCCCTGGCAGAGCTGGAAGGGAAGTAGAACTGGAGATGGCACCAGCTATTGAGATTGTTCTAGAGTTTGCTCTGGAGTTGGTGCTGTGCCTCCAAGAAGAGTAACTGCCTTTCCCTGGGCCTACTGGAAGGGTGACCCCATATCTGGCAGGGAGTGTGTGTGTGTGGGGGGGGTGTCACAAGGCCTTTGGATACTGCCTGTCCTGCTGGCTGACTCTCGAAATGGAAGCTCTGAGGGAAGGGATCTGTGCACTGGATAAAACTTAGTTTTACCTAGAAGTTTCTGTGCTTAATGGGACTTCCAGTATAAAATGAATGGAAGAGCCATTCCAGCCTGTTACAGCTATCAGCGTGGGCTGGGTACACGGACACACACACACACACACACACACACACACACACACACACACACAGCTTTATGGCGCTGGCTTCACCCAGGACAAAGATACCCAATCAGAATCTTGAACTCTCCTTTTCCAAAAAGAAAATGCCTCAGGGTCAAAGTGAGGTAAGGAGAGGTCTCCTGGAGAGAAGAGGGCCAGGGGACCTTGGCACAGGCAGGGTGCAGGGGCTGGCTTGTGTCTGATGGCTCCTGCCCAGCCAGCATGAGGCTATGCACTTGATCTCTGGTGCCACCACATGCTCTGAGCAGGGACCCCCAGGGCACAATCGCATGTGCATGGGCCAGGGGACCTGAGTCATGCAACTCAAGTGTGTGCCAGCAGGCAAGCACTGCAGCTATAGGAGATGAGCATACACCGTGCAGATGAGCCCTGGCCGGCCAGCATGCATGAACTCCACAGCACCCCGACTGAGCGCCACAACCGGAAGGCGGGTGAACTCCACTAACAGGAGAGCTCATGCACAAGCGTGGCAACCAAAAAGTCTAAGACCTTTGGGAGGCGGGATCAGGTCGGCCAGGAGCTATGAAGAGAGTTGTGGTGTTCCCATTCTCAGCTTTCATCTCTTAGTTGTCAGCCATTCTGAAGCCCAGGGGCTCGCTCTAAGGTTGCCCAGGACAGGATCCGCTGGTCCATTGTCAGCCTGTTCGACCACCCATGACTGCAGGTGGATCCCACGGATATTCACACCGGTTGTCGGGCGCCCTCTGGCGACCACCTTCATATCATGCATAGTCCCCCGGGGGCGTGAAGGCTCTCAGCACTGGCCAGGAGGGGTCCAGGAGGCAGGCCCAGGTGCAGGATCCGCCTGGGGATGTGCCAGGGAGTCGATACAGTATACTTTGCCCGGAGATGGGACGTGCAGGGAGGTGGGAATGAGGGTGTCAGGCCTCCTTGGACAGGTCGACGTTAATTGCTGTCCCACATATCACTGGGTTTCCAAACCACCCAACTTTTTCCAGTTCCGGTCCAGAGGTGGGTTTCCATCAGGTTTGAACTGAAGAAGGTGCTACAGGTACAGCATCTGTCCGTGTGGACAGTTTCTCTGAGGAGGTACCTCTCAGCTTCCTCTCCAAGTCCCCACTCAGAGCTGGAGACCACCCAGGAGTCACCTGTGAGCATGGGGTAGGGGGCCCTAGCAGAGCCGGCTGCTGTTCATCTAGCTGTTAGTGTCAGAGGAGCCTCCCTGACAGACTTGGAAAATCCCACTGCAGAGCTAGAACTGCTGACAGGCCCCTGGAGTGGATGTCGGCGGAAGGGTCTCCAGCCAGCCAATGTCGGACTTGATATCAAATTCAAAACCCACTCTGGAGCTTGTAGCCAAGAGTAAATCCAGGCAGGAGATCCCTCCCCCTTTATGTGTCTGTATTGGACCCATTGTAAAAAAAAACTTCCCCCCACATTCAAAAGAACAAAAGCAACCGATGCTGGTGCGGATGTGGCGAGAAAGGGACACTCCTTCACTGCTGGTGGGAATGTCGACTGGTTCAGTCCTTCTGGAAAACAGTATGGACGATTCTCAAAATATTAGAAATTGAGCTCCCATTTGACCCAGCAATACCACTGCTGGGAATATATCCCAGAGAGGCAAAAATGTATAGTCGAAGTGACATCTGCACTTGTTTGTTCATTGCAGCACTCTTTACAATAGCCAGAAACTGGAAGAAACCTGAATGCCCAAGAACAGATGACTGGTTAAAGAAACTTTGGTACATCTACACAATGGAGTACTATGTAGCTGTTAGAAAAGATGAAGTCATAAAATTTACATACAAGTGGTACAACATGGAAAGTATCATGCTAAGCGAAATGAGTCAGAAAGAGAGGGATAGACATAGAAAGATTGCATTCATCTGGGGAATATAGAGTAACAAAATATGAGATTAATACCCAAGAATAGCTGAGATCAGCACCAGGAGGATTACTCCATAGCTTAGAGGCCAGCCGGGCATTCTAGGGGAAAGGGCAGCTCAGATAGAGAAGGGAGCACCAAATAAAGGGTGTTTGGAGGATCCTCCCAGGAGGGGAGATGCATGTTGAAAGTAGACTATGGACTGAACATGTTTGCCACTCAAAGCCTCTTTTGCAGACCACAACACCCAAAGGAGAGAGAGAACAAAAGGGAATGCCCTGCCACAGAGGCAGGGGGGGATGGGGGGATGGGGGTGGGAGGGATATTATCCATGGTGGTGGAAAGTGGGCACTGATGGAGGGATGGGTATTTGATCATTGTATAATCAAAACCCAAGCACAAAAAATTGTAAATCTATAACTGTACTTCATGGTGTTTCACTAATAAAATGAAAAAAAAAAGAAAAAAAACCTCCCCCCCAATATTTCCAAGTTTCCTCTCCTGAAACTTGGTGAGGCCAGCAATACACCCCTTCTCCCCATCCTTTCTATCATGTTTTTCAGCGAATGGACCACAAGACCCAGACTTGGTCCAGTGCCAGTCACATTCCTGTCATCCCTGCCACTTTTTTTCTTTTCAACTTTTTCTCTGGTGGCCCAGGAACAAATGGCCTTAGGGTCTGTGAGCCAGGTGCAGGGGATATAGCTACAGAAGGCCAGGTGTGAACCGGGGTCATTCAGTGACAGCTGGGCAGGGGCAGGAAGCCCCCCTCCAGGGTGGTTCTGCGGTTCTGCTGCTCCAGCTGTGGCTGGCACTTTCCCAGGCAGCTTGTTGTGTGGTCCCACTTGAGGTCCCACCAGCATAAGTGGTTTCCCTCCATGAGGGTATGACTGGCCTTGCCAGTGGCCTACCTGTGGCTCTATCCTAAGAGGCTGGTCTCAGAGGTTTTCCTATGCAGACAGTCACAGCTGGGGCGTCCCGAGTGCTGCAGTGGGTGTCCCACCACTAAGAACGGACAGAGGAGGGAGGCCTTCCATGATGAAGAGATATGGTTTCACTTGCCTTGCCCGCAGCAGACCGGGGTTCCAGTCTCCAGCACCGCATCTGGTTTCCCCCAAGCACCACTTGGGGTCAATCCTGAGCACAGAGCCAGGATTAGGCCCAGAGCACTTTCAGGTGTGGTTCCAAACCAAATAAACAGAAACAACAAAAATATCATGTTGCTTATTGAATTCCAGCTGTCACATTTTGGTGGAAAGCTATGGTTTGAAAGGGGCACAGGGTGAAGGATACAGTCTAAGGAAAGTTCTTACTCACTGACCTGCTTCCCACCCCTGAACCAAACGGCACCTTTTGCACCGAACTGCGGGGGCAGAAGGCATGATAATTAATAACCCTACTTTCACTCCTCTTCAGCAGGTTTGGCCATCGCCTTCATGCTTTGAGGGTGTGCTATGTTCCTCCCAACATCCACAGGGCCTTAACTGACTTTTGTTCCACATGCCAAGAGGACATATTTGGTAAAATACATGCTTTGGGGGAAATATTTTGGGGGAAACATGAGGGTAACGGGGGTTGCTGCCACTCCTATCATTAAAACCTGTAGAGGGTCTGGAGAGGTAGCACAGCAGGTAGGGAGTTAGCCTTGCATGTGGCCCACCTGGGTTCGATTCCCAACCTCCCATATGGTTCCCCTGAGCACCGCCAGAAGTGATTCCCGAGTGCAGAGCTAGGAGTGATCCCTGAGCATTGCCAGGTGTGACCCAAAAAGAAAAAAAAAAAGCTGTAGAGTTATAAACCATTATTAAACACAGGGAACAGAATGAGGGCTGTCTGTGGATGGGAAACAACTGGAAGAAAAGCCAAGGATAGGTCACTTTTTTGTTCCTGCTCTGCACAGGGAAGGGTCAGAATCAATCACTGCACAATCTCCTCCCGAGCACTCCAGAACCGCAGGGTGCAGCCTGTGTAAATAAAGAAAGAGAGAGAGAGAGAGAGATAGAGAGAGAGAGAGAGAGAAGGATGCATTTTGTAGTCGAAGGAATTTATTCTCAAAGTTAGACAGCACAGCAGGTAGGGCGTTTGCTTTGCAAGCGGGCAACCTGGGTTCGATTCTTCCGTCCCTCTCGGAGAGAGCCCCGCAGGCTACCGAGAATTCTGCCCGCGTAGCAGGGCCTGGCAAGCTCCCCGTGGCCTATTCTATATGCCAAAAACAGTAACAAGACATCTCACAATGGAGACGTTACTGGTGCCCGCTCGAGCAAGTCGATGAAAATCGGCAGAACAGAGCTACAGTTAACAAAGTTGAGATGAGGCACTGGAGTGCGTTTTTGTTTTTGTTGGGAGGACCCTGGGGTGGGGGTAACACCCTGCGATGCTCAGGGATCATTCCTGGCTGAGCTCAGGAATAATCCTGGTGCTGCTCGGGGAACCACCAGGGCAAACGCCCTACACACGGTCCCATCACTCCGGCTCCCCCTGGACCGCGTCTTCCTCTCGCCTAGAGACGCGGCGTGGACGAAGTGAAGGTTCCCGGACAGGCCCTCCCGGGAGGGGTCCGGAGACTGGCTGGGGCCCCGCCCGCCGGAACCGGAAATATCGTCACGCCGGGGGCGGGGCCGGGCGCGCCGAGCCGGGACCGTCGCGGAGGGGAGCGGGGGGCGGCGCGCTCGGGGCGGACGCCGGAGGGTCCCGCCATGGATCGCTACGGCGCTGCCTTCGAGGAGGCGGCGGACGGGACCCGGCAGCAGGAGCGGCACTACCAGCTGCTGTCGGCGCTGCAGAGCCTGGTGAAGGAGCTGCCCAGGTGCGGGCGGCGGGGCCGGGGCGGGCGGGCCGCGGCGGCTGCCTCCCACGCTCACCCCGCCGCCCGCCCGCCCGCAGCTCCTTCCAGCAGCGCCTGTCCTACACCACGCTCAGCGACCTGGCCCTGGCGCTCCTCGACGGCACCGTGTTCGAGATCGTGCAGGGGCTGCTGGAGATCCAGCACCTCACCGAGAAGAGCCTGTACAACCAGCGCCTGCGGCTGCAGAACGAGCACCGAGGTGCGCGGGGGGCGGGACGGCGGGCGCCCTTCCTCCGGGGGTCGTCACCCACCGCCCCTGGGGGGCCGGGGGCGGGCCCGCCCTTCCCTGGGCGCGACTCGGCAGAGCAGCCTGAAACTGCGCGGCTCTCAACGGCGCCGTTCCGGGGCGCCCTCGGGTCGCGCTCCTCCTGTCAGTTGCGCCGATCCTGGCCACCCCACACCCCGAAACTCCGCGCTCGGCAGTACCGCTGCCCCCGGGCCCGGGCAGGCCGGCCCAGGTGCTTGCTCAGCCCCTAGGCGCGGCCTGGCGGTGGCCGTGCCCCAGGGGTTCCCGGGCGGTGTGTCGACTCTTGCCCTGGACGGCCCGGTTCCTTTCTCGGTCTGCGGAGACCTGAGTGGCGGCTGCACGGCCGATCGGTTCCCACGCCCCCTTTCGGACCTGAGCTCTTTCCCGCTTGAGCCACATATTGTAGCAGTCAAGCTTCGCGAGCGTCGCCGCTCCCAGGCCTTTCCTCTCAGCAGCCTTCCTGCAGGTGTGCTGGAAAACCCGCTGCCCTGCCAGATGTCCCACATCACTTTCCCCGACTGTATTTTTAAAAAATGATCAAGCATTCAGAGAAGTTGAGAGGATAGCCAGATAGCAAGGCTTTCTAGCCCTAACTCTGTGCAGCGGTCTGGGACTCACCATGTGCCCCCACCCCATTCCTAAAGACCACGGGTGAGTACCCCGTCACCCTTGGCCCCGTGCCAGGACATAGCCTGGGGACATAGCTGGGGCTTTGTTTAGCAGCGTTATTCCTGGCTTCGGCCACTAGAGGCCAGTGACAACCCTCCCCTTTGTGACAGCCCCAGAAGACTCCAGGCATCCCTGGGGGTCAGCCTGGGTCCTCTGCCTGCAAGGCTGAATAGGACTGCACAGGGGCCAGGGAGATAGTACAGTGGGGAAGGCCCTTGCTGACCCGGCTTCCACCCCCAGCTCCTGAACTCGCCAGGCTTCTAGCTTCTGTGTAGGGCTCTGGGTCGGGCGGGGACTTCAGGAGGGGCTGCACCTCCTTCAGAGTGGGGGAACAGGTGCTCCCTGCGCCCTCTGCTCACAGCCTCTGTGGTCTGGTCCCCAGTGCTCAGGCAGGCGCTGCGGCAGAAGCACCAGGAAGCCCAGCAGACCTGCCGGCCCCACAACATGCCTGTGCTGCAGGCGGCGCAGCAGCGAGAGCTGGAGGTAGGGGTGCAGCACACTGGGTCCAGGGGTGAGACCTGGCATGTGGCTCTTCATGGGAGGGGTCAGATATACCGGGTCTGGCCTGTGGGGTAGTGGAGGCCTGAGTGAGCCCCCTTCCCCTCCATCTGCTCTCCAAGACTGGCTCTTCACGGGAAGGGCCAGGGAGGGACCACTGTGACCTTGACATTTGCGATGACAGTTGGGAAGCCCTCGGATAAGCCAGAAGCCTGGGTGCCGATGGCCATGTAACCAGGGTCCCCCTGGCAGCAGGAAGCAGGGATGTGGAAGCAGACTGACATGGGTCCAGAGCTGGTGGCCAGCCTGAGAGCAAGCCAAGGTGGGGCCTGTCTGGCACAGCTTCTGGTGGTCACCAGCTATCAGCAGTGCCAGGAGCAACCGCAGCAAAGGGGACCTGGAGGGAGAGCTGAGAGCAGAGCTGCCCGCAGGAATGCCAGAGGTGCATCCGGGCACCAGCAGTGACCTCAGCACTTGAGCCACTGGGAAGCTCGGAGGGGCTGGCTAGTTGGTAGACCAGAAGGTTGAGTCTGACACATTAATGGGGGCAGAGGTGTGGCATTGGTGCTGAGCCCCAATGACCCCTTAGTGTTCACACCACCTCCTTCGTGCATCTGGGGGCAGGCAGTGGAGCACAGGATCCGTGAGGAACAACGGGCCATGGACCAGAAGATTGTCCTGGAGCTGGACCGGAAGGTGGCAGACCAGCAGAGCACACTGGAGAAGGCTGGGGTGGCTGGCTTCTATGTGACCACCAATCCACAGGTCAGTGCCAGGGACCGTCCAGGTGACACGGGAGCCCCAGAGCCCTGGTTCCATCCGGAGGTGGGGAGGACGTCAGAGAGCCTTTGGGAATTCGGGAAGGTTTCAGCCTGTGCTTAGTTTAGGGGACTGTCCACTCTTCTCCCTGCTGGCCGGGCACACCCACTTTGACTCCTTCTGGGTGGGTTTCCACCAGCTTCAGGGAAGTTAGCCCCGGGGGTGGCTTGTTGGTGCTTGTTCCAGGCCTTAGTGCCAGGCATCTGCAGGGCACTGTGGCCCTCTCAGCAGCCCCTCTGCACCCAGGAACTGACGCTGCAGATGAACCTGTTGGAGCTCATCCGGAAGCTGCAGCAGAGGGGCTGCCAGGCGGGGAAGGCCGCCCTGTAGTGTATGGGCCTCTCTAGCACCTGCCTCCCGTATGGCGGGAGCACAGGCTTGCGGCAGACACAGCACGGAGCAAGTCTTCATGTATCTGGCCGCCAGCTCCCAGCTGCCTGCAGGAGGGCTCCCGTCATCCCCCCACCCCAGGAGAAACCATGTGGATTGGGGCTGTGCCTGCCACACACCCACCTTCGTCTGGGTTTCTGTGAACAAGTGCACGGACAGTTTAGTGAAGGGGAGACCAGCCCCAGCTGCCTCAGACCGGGTGCTGAAGGTTCTAGCACATTCTCACTCCTCCAGCACATCTCGACCTCAGCCAGGCTTAGGCCCTGCCTTGGCAGGGGGAGAATTTCGCGGGTCCACGCCCTACATACCGGGAGAATAAAGATGCTCGGTGTGGCCTGCATGCGTGACTGTGTGTATGTCCAGGGCCCAGCTGGGACCTTGCCCACTAGCCCTGACCTACAGAGCAACCAGCAGACGGTGCCTCAGAGAAGTCTTCCTGGGGGGCGGGGGAGTTGCATTCAGCAGGGGGTGCCCTTGTGGGTGACCCGGGCAGTGGGGTGAGTGGCTGAGTGAACATCGAGAGGGTCTAAGGAAGAGACCCGGGGTGCCCACATCCTGTCTCCACTGATGTCACCCCAGATATGGGGGAGGGGCGGGATGTCCAGCACTCTGCATGGCAGGGTAGAGGATACAGCCTGAAGGGGACTCTAATAAGGCCTGAAACAGTGGCTACCCCAGCTGCACACTCAGCTGCTGACCCTCACACAGAAAGGAATTCGGGTTCCATGCACTTGAAGACCCGGAGCTGCAGAGTAGTGGTTTATTAAGCAAGAATGCTTCCTCAGCCTGGCCACAGACCCCGCCAGTGGGGGTGGCAGTGGGTGTCAGCGGGCGCTGGTGAAATCGTCCTTCAGGTCCAGGGAAGTGGGGCGGGCAGCGACGGGTCAGGCCCACCTGTTCGAAGCCGTTCCTGAGACGGCAACGCTTCGGGCAGGTACGAGGGGGCCCCACTTCCATCTGGTCTGAGTCTGAGGTGGGGGTGTGGCTAACACTGTGGCATGGCCCCTGGGAACCGCCCTCCCCCGGCCCTGAGCAGGCAGAGCCTGGCAGTGGACGCAGTGGCCGCCTGTGCCTTAGGCCGGCCGGTGGAAGAGGTCTCCGGTGCGGGCCCGCCGAGTGAGCTCCTGCCACAGCAGCTGCCGCTCCCGCTGGGCGCCCTTCATGAGGCCGCTGTTCTCCAGGGCGCGGCGCGACAGGTAGGGCAGCACCTCCATCACGGGGCCATACGGCACGTACTTGTACACGGGGAAGCCGGCCTGGCCTGCGCGCGGGGCAAAGGCAGTGAGACCCGGGCCCCAGCGCCCACCCCGGCCCGCCCGCAGGGAGGCCACTCACCCAGTGGGAAGCTGATCTGGTCACACATGCCCAGCAGCTGTCCAAAGTACACCTGGCGGTCTGCAGGGTGCAGGCCCAGCTCCTCCATCCTGCCAGTGGACAAGGCCGTGCGTGACCCTCTCCCGCTCCCAACTGCCCCCAACTCCATCTCCATCCTCTGGCGGAGGGGACAGGCTCTGCCTGCTCTCCCACTTAGGCCCAAAGTTGCTCCTTGCCGGGGCACTGCCCAGGCCCACCCCTTCAGCCTGACCTCCCACCCGCCTCCTTCCCCAGGCCAGCGGGAGACCCACCTGGCAGCCTTCCCCGGGGCCCTCTGCCCTCCCGCCACCCTCCTCAGCCCCTCTGCTTTGATGTCCACCCACCGGCCTCTTGTCCTCCCATCCCTTGGCTGCTCTGTCCCACTCCACTACCACCAATAAGGGCAAGATGTCTAAACAGGAGCCCAAGGGGCCACGCATGCAAGAGATCAGAAGAGGCAGCAGGAAGCAATGGCGGTGGCCGCGGTTTTCTGAACGTTGGTTTGAGTGGCACCGTTCGAGACATTCTGGGCTAATTGAGATGTTACAGAAATTGTGGAACTTCCCTTTTCAGTGTGGCCCCTGGAAAGTTCCCAGTTACAAATGTGGCTCATGATTCCATGAGTGCTGCTCTGACCTCTCCCTGCCGCAGAACGTAGCAAAAATCCCCCGAGTTTAGGGCCAGAGAGGCAGGACAGAAAGACAGCGGCTTGCCTTGCACATGCCCGGCCCAGCTTGGGCACCCCACATGGTCTCCGGAGCTTGCCAAGTGTAAGCCCTGAGCACAGCCGAAAGGGGCTCAAAGGAAAAAAAAAATTGCCAAGTGTGTCGTATCTCTGGGTTGAGGGCTCCCGCCCCAGGAGAGACGCGGGCGACCGTCCTGCTCAACAGAGTCCAGCAGAGTCGTGCGTTGAGCCCTGTCCCACCCCACTCCAGCAGGGGCACCTGAGGCCCTGCCCGAACAGCAGCAGCTCTCCTCGCTTTCCCGCTCTGCTCCCGGGAAGCGGGGGGTCCGCGGAGGAGGCAGTGCAGGGTGAGGGTAGGAGGGCGACGGAGCTCGGCGATCGCGGGGAGCCTGGCAGCTGACCGGCCGCACCTCGTCCTCTCCGAGGAGGCTCACCTCAGGACCCCGCCACACACGGGGCTGAGAGTGTGGAGTAATAAGGTGACACGTGGGAGCTTTCACACTGTATTTGCGCATTTTGCATTTCAGGAAGCTATTTAAGTCACCTAATGAGGTTTATTTATTTTTCTTGTACTGCAGTTCTTAATAAGTCAGGCATTCCTTTTAAAGAGCCAGAGTAACTACAAATAGCCTTCCTGCTCCCCGGCACTCGTGGGGGGCCAGCCCGGCCCGGGGGCAGCACCAGCTCCCGCCTGGTCCCCCAGACGCCCACCACACCACCAGGTGTGTGTGTTCCCGGCCGGGCACCTACCTGCGCAGCGTGAAGCGCACCGAGTCCTCGTTGTGGGAGGCCACCATCACCTCAGCCCGGCCGCTGTGCTTCACCTCCTCCAGGACATAGTTGAGGCACCTGCGGAGAGGCCCGTGAGCCCGAGGTGGCCGCAGGACCAGTGGGAAGTGACCCTCCTCACGCCGCAGGCCGAGCAGGATGCTGCACGCCTCCTGGTGTGGACCCCTGGGTGCACTCGGCAGCAGTCTCTCAGGGACACCCAGCAGCTCTAGGACAGCTGAGGCCTCCCCCTGGGTACCAGACAGGCCAGACTGTGCCAGGGTCACCGCAGTGACATCTGGCAGGCAGCAAATGCTTGTGAGATAGGCATGTGGACGTGGGCATTTCTCATGTCTAGGGTAGCACCAGAGGGTCAGAGGGTTAGAGGCAGGGGCAGCTCTGCCTGCTGGTGCCCGCGGGGACCTCAGACCCAGCTATGTGGGGGAGACCTCGGCCCGGCTGGGAAGGGGGGGGTCGGCAAGCACCAGCATGCCAAGTACACAGCACAGAGGTACAGAAAGCAGGTGCCACCCGGGAGGAGCGGAAGGCCAGGAAGGGACTTTAAGGCTCTCTGATTTTGCAACCTTCACAATCTCAGAAAAAGGAGATTGTCCACACTCAAGGTCAGCAAGATAGGGGCTGGAGCGATAGCACAGCGGGTAGGGCATTTGCCTTGCACGCGGGCGACCCGGGTTCGATTCCCAGCATCCCATAGGGTTCTCTGAGCACCACCAGGGGTAATTCCTGAGTGCCGAGCCAGAAGTACCCCTGTGCATTGCTGGGTGTGACCCAAAAAGCAAAAAATAAAAAAAGATCAGCAAGATAAGAGGGGGGTGGGATGCGGCAGGCACAAAAGTACATGCAGAGAGCTGAGCACCTGGGGGTGAATTCAAGGGCTAGTGGATAGGATGCGGTGGGGACAACAGCTCAGCACAGGCTCGTCCCAAGTGCCAGGGGAATGCCTGGGGGCGGGGCCAGTTCCTTTCTGCCCAGGAGACTTGTTTCAATACAAGACGTTTAAAAATCCACCACGGGGACCGGAGTGACAGTGCAGCAGGTAGGCGCTTGCCTTCCTCTCACCCAAGCAGGGTTAGATCCCCAGCACCCCATATGGCCTCCCAAGCCCGACCAGAAGTAATCCTTGAGCAGAGCCAACAGTAAGCCCTGGGCTTATGCTTACTAGGTGTGCCCTCTCCCCAATGTATTAAGTGAATGCCCACCATAGGGGCTGGGGACATAGCTCAAAAGGCTGGAGCTCACGCTGCACCAGGGAAGGCCCACATCTCATCCCCAGCGCCGCACTGCCCTCCAAACATCGAGCCATGAGCAGCCCCTGGGTGTGGTCCCCAAACCCCCAGATGAAAACCACCTAGGGGCTGGAGGACAGTACAGCGGGTAGGGCATTTGCCATGCACGAGGCCGACCTGGGCTTGGTCCCCAGCAACCCATATGGTCCCCCAAGCACTGCCAGGAGTAATTCCTGAGTGCAGAGCCAGGAGTAACCCCTGAGCATCGCTGGGTGTGACTCAAAAAGCCAAAGAAAGAAAAAAGAAAACCACCCTGATGTTTTCAGAGAAAGCAAACAGGGCAGAGGCCTCCAGCCCACAGAACTCTCCTGAAACCTCCGTGCTGTGGGGGTCACCCCCGGCAGCCTCACCCCGCCTCTCACTCCCTGCCCAGGAAGCCCACAGCAGACGCACCTGTGGTACATGGCATTGGTGGCCTCATAGGTGGGGTTGATGGGGTCCTCGTAGCCAATCTCTGCAGCGCGGGCGCGTTCCTGGGCCATGTACGCGCCCCGCACCAGCTTGGCCCCGAAACACCAGTCCTCACGGCGCGCCAGCTCCAAGTCCAGGGTGACATTGTCGTAGGTCTCCTGTGGGGTCAGGGCCAAGGTCCGTTGTCCACCAGGAAGACCCCCATCTCCCCAGGTGCACTCAGTTTGGGACACGGGGGCCAACAGCAGTGACTGAGGACGGTATCCCATGCCCGCCTGTGGGTCAAGTGGATCTGGGGAAGATCCTCTGGTGTCAGTCAGTGGGGACAGCCTTGTGGGGGGGCGGAGCACGTGCTGTGGCCCTCCCCGTGCCTGGGTCCCCACCCCCTCACATTCGGCCCAGGCTGGGGCTAGGGGTGCTCCTGGGCCCCCCAAGGTCTGTGCCATACTCTGGGTAAGTACTTAGTAAGCAGAGCCCCAGACTCTCATGAGCTCGTGGGGGAGGGGGGACATCCTACAAGCAGGCAGGAGATCCCATCGTGCGTGAGGATGTGGGTGGGGGAGGGTGGACGCCGAGGGGGCGCCCACCTTGAGGTAGCACTGGTACGTGTTGAAGATGAGCGGTTTGGCCTTGTTGAACTTGCGCTGCATCTCCAGGGTCAGGCGGCTGATGGCCGGCTGGAAGTACGTCTGCTCCGCATCCACCATCAGCCGTACGCCCACCTCGTTGGCTTTCTGGGAGGGGCGGGAGGGGGAGCGGCTTCGTCAGAGGCTGGGGGGTGTCAGGCACCGCCTCCCCTGCCCCATCCCCCACACTGGGCGCCCCCGAGGGTCCGAGACCTTGGCCAGGACATCCATCCTCTGCAGCATCCGCGTCATCTGCCGCTCCTCCTCGTCGGTGAAGCAGGACAACAGGGGCTCCAGCTGGCCCGTCTGGGAGGACAGCCGCAGTCAGGGCCCTCTTCACCCTGTTTCCGTGCCTGCCCCGGGCACACAGGGAAGGGGCCCCTAGAAAGCCAGCGTGCCCCCGTGGACAGGTGTGACCTGCACCCCGAAATCAGCCCCTGGGCTCAGGAAGACGCTTGCATTCTGTTCTTTCTCTTGGGGGGCAGGAACCACACCCCCTAGTGCTGGGGCCCCCCTTGGCAGGTGCTTGGGGGACCATGTGCCCCAGCCCTTTGTGCATGGTGAGCAAGCAGCAGGACCCCAACACTCACCCTGCAGCATGGGCAGCAGGGAGACCCCCACTGGCCTTCGGACACTCACCCTAACCAAACAAACACACTCTCCCTACCCTGGCATCCCCCCTCACACTTCCTTCCCCTCCTGGCCCCTCCCCCCTGGGTCCCCAGCGGGTGGGTAGGGCTTGAGGAATGAGGCATTGGTGGGAGACCAATCACTTCTCAGCTCAAGCTGTGGCCTCCAGCAGGGGGTTCATTCCTAAGGAGCAGGGGGAGCCCTGGTCAAATGCCAGCGCCCCCCAACCCAGCACCCTGCTAGCTGATGGGACCTCTCTGGTCTGGGGGAACTGCACGGGAACCCCAAGCAAGTCCACCTTCAGGCCAGACGTATGGGGTGAGCCAGCCTGCAAGGACAGAGGAGGGAAGCGGGGGCTCCCTCCTGCAGGCTCAGTCAACTCCGCGGGGCAGGTAGGAGCAGGTAGGAGCGGGTTCTTCCCTGATCCAGGGGGCTCATGGGGCCGATGACAGGGACCTGGGCCACCACAGCTGCAGCCCTGCCCCACCTCCTGCTGAGCTGGAGTCCAGGGTCAAGAGGCCTCACCTGCATGTTGGGCACCACCAGGTGTTTGGAAAGTTCAGTCCTGCTGTCGATGAGGCTGCTCCAGTCCAGCAGGTCCAGGGTGCTGTGGGAGACAGTTACCAGACCCCAGACCCCAAGCCAGCCTGTTTCCTACAGGAGAAGCTACCGGTCCAGCCCTGCACCCCTGCCTGCGAGTCCCTGTCAGAGGAGAGGAGGGAGGGCGAGGACGCCCAGCAGCTAAGTGCTCCCAGGGCAGCTGCACTTGCCCCAGCACGAACCCAGCAGCCCTGGAGCAGCCAGGGTTTCTGGGAACCCCACAGCCAGGCAAAGGGGTGTGACTCCCCCAGCGAGCGAGCGGCACTGAAGGGCGTGTGGACACCTAGGCCAGGAAATGGGACGACAGCGAAAGGGCCACCACCCTGGTCTGGCCACAAGGACGGGGAAAGCGAAGCAAGGCAAGAAATAATCATCAAGGGGCTGGAGCGATAGCACAGTGGGGAGGACGTTTGCCTTGCACCTGGCCGACCCGGGTGCGATTCCCAGCATCCCATATGGTCCCTTGAGCACTGCCAGGAGTAACTCCTAAGTGCAGAGCCAGGAGTAACCCCTGTGCATCACCGGGTGTGACGCAAAAAGCAAAGAAAAAAGGAGGAAAAAGAAATAATCGTCAAAAGAACCTCTTGGCCCTCTTTCAAAGCGGGAACCGGAGCACAAGCAGGGCCCTGTCAGGGAGGAGCCCGCGTGAGGCCTGAGGCTTCAGCAGGCTGAGTCACTTGCACTGGCACCTGCCTTCGTGGTAGTGCTCCCCACCCCCCATGGATGATTCTGGAAGCAGCCCTGTGGGCTCAGGACACTTCCTCCGACAGCCGACTCTGGCTCAGGTCCCGGCTCACGGCCTCCACCGATGGCCGCTCTGGGCATCTCAGGGACCAGGTCACCGAGGCCCCCACGCGCCAGGAGTGGGGCTGGATAAGGTTCAGGGACAGCAGGGATGGGGGCGGAGCGGGGACGGCTCTTACCCGGACACACCCAGAGTCTCCACGGTGAACCACTTCTCAATCTCCGCCCTGGAGGCAATGCCCATCTTCGCCACACTTTCCTGGGGCGGCACATGGAGAAAACAGTGGCACCACAGTCAACCCAATGTCAGCCACGTCCCCCCCACCCCCCGCAGCCCCCCTCAACGCCCTGCTGCTTTCTGCTGCTTTGACAACATAAGGACACCTCTATGGGTTTGTTCTTTTGGTTGGGGTTTTCCTTTTTTCTTTTCTTTCTGGTTGTTGTTCTGGTCTTTCTTTGTGGTGCCCAAGGGCTATTCCTGGCTCTGTGCTCGGGACATCCCCTGGTGATGCTCAGGGGATCTCCTGCCGTGTATGTGAACCAAGGTCACTACCCTGATGGTTCTGTTTCTACCGCAGGAAGGTCTGTGCCCTGCTGTCTGCTGCCCCCTGCGGGGTTCCTGGGGCCAGTACTGGTCAGCCCTCCCACTGCCCTCCTCAGTCTCGGCTCCATGGTTCGGGTTCTTTCCCTGTCCAGCCCAGCCACTGGGGAGTGGGCTGCAGGCCCTGAGAGAACACCACTCGCCCCCCCCATCCTCCGGGAAGGGCCCCACCTGCAGTGCGGCCACCTCCAGCCTCTTGTCCTTGGCGGCCAGCCCCGCCTTGCCCTGCTCCGCGGCCATTTGGTGGAAGAACCGTCTCCACTTGGTCAGCACATCTGAGAACTGCAGCTGCAGACAGGTCTCAGCACTGGGGGAGGAGAACGCCCAGCTCTCCACTCCCCCTGGGGGACCCCCCTCGCCCCTTCGCCCGTGTGCCCGAGACCCAGCCTAGAGGGGGCAGCCCAGATTTTGCCATTCCTGCTCATGGCAGTCCCGACTTATTTCTCTCTCTCTCTCTCTCTCTCTCTCTCTCTCTCTCTCTCTCTCTCTCTCTCTCAGGTTCCAGTACTTACCAGAAACTGGGGCCTCCCCAGTGCAGTGAGCTTAATGGCCGAAAAGCCGTCGTCACTGGCCCCGGCTGTCAGAAACCACAGAAAGAGCCGTGAGAGGCCACACAGGGCAGCTCCGACTCTGCACCCTGTAGGCCACAGCCCCTGCCCATGGCCCACCTGCGCCTACATGCCCTGCACGCCCTGCAGCACAGACGGTGTTTGCCACCTGGGTCCACAGCCAGGGGGCCACCTGCCTGTCCCTGCACAGCCCTGATGGCCTCTCAGTCCCTGCCTCTCAGGCCAGCAGCCACCAGCTGCCCATGGGCTCTGGGACCAGAACCCTGAGGTGGACAGTGAGCTGGGACAGAAGGCTCTGGGCCCCCACTGGCTCTCTCCACTGGCTTCTGGAAGGGCCGCCCGCCACTGTCCCAGACGAGCAGAGTGACTGTCCGGCCACCCTGGACTCCCCACTTCCACCCACTCCCACACCCTCAAGTGTTCAGGGGGCTGGGGCCTGCTCCCCGGAAAGGAACATCCCTCAGGACTGCACCGAGACCCCTGGGGCGGTCACCACGGAGGCAGGGGCAGGGGCAGGGCTAGGGAGAGGAGTGGGGCCCTGTCTGGGACACTCAGCCACGCTGGCCTTCTCGCATCCTCCTGCAGCCACCTGGTGCTCGGCAGGCCCTGGGGAGGGGGCTGCGTGTGGGTGTGGCTCCAGCCCCATATTCACGGCCCCCAGGCCCCCACCAGCATCCCCACAGGCCAGGGCTGGGCTTGGGGGTGGGGTGCCTCACCGGAGGCCTCGATGCAGCGCAGGAAGATCTCCATGTGGCTGTCACACTTGGCTTCGTTGGCGTAGAAGTAGGTGCGGGCGCTGATGACGCCATCCCGGCGGTCCCCGAAGGTGCGGTGGGCCTGGTACTGCTTCTCCCGCTTACTGGTGCCTGCGGAGGCAGCTACCCACTGAGCACGACTGTGCCAGTTTCCCAGAGGCCGCTGAAACCATGGGTGGGGCTGGGGGAGCGCAGCAGTTGCCTTGGGTGCCACGGGTGGGGGCCGCTTGCTCGCTTACAGGCCAGTTTGACTTTGTTTCTGAGTGAGGGGCTGTCGGCCCAGTTAGTTCGGAGGGCTCTAGGAAAACAGGCTCCTGTTCTGCCTGCAATAGCCCCGTGACCCCACTTCTCCCGGGTCCGGGCTCCCCCTATTTCTCCCCACTCCCCAGCCTGCTCCCCTAACTCTTGCCAGCCTCCTCCCCTCCCTGGGGAAGCCCTGGTCAGGTGCTGAACCCCGGCCAAGAAGGCAGCATCCAGACCAGCCCCAGCTGAGGGACCAGCCCTCCCAGGCCCGCCCCGGCAGTGTGGGATCACAACAATGGGGGACTCCCCTGCACCCCGGGGTAACTCACCACATCCTTCCTTCTCCACCACAGAGGTAGAGGACCTGCAGGCAGGAATAGGAGGAGGGTCAGGGCCCTGCCAAACCAGCCCCAGAGAAATGTAGAGAGGGAGGCTGGAGCGATAACACAGCAGTAGGGCATTTGCCTTGCAAGCAGCTGGCCCGGGTTCGATTCCCAGTCTCCCATGTGGTCCCCTGAGCACCGCCAGGAGTGATTCCTGAGTGCATGAGCCAGGAGTAACCCCTGTGCAATGCTGAGTGTGACCCAAAAAAGCAAAAGAAAAAGAAATGTAGAGAGGACTCAAAAGTAAAAGGGACACAGTTGTTCTATTTTTTTTTTGGGGGGGGAAGGGGGGTAGGCACACCTGGCGGTGCTCAGGGCTTACTCCTGGCTCTACTCCAGGCTCACTCTTGCCTTCTTGGCAGGCTCAGAGGACCACACGTGGTGCTGGGGAGGAACCCAGGTCAGCCACATGCAAGGCAAATGCCCTACCCACTGTGCTGTCATTCCAGTCCAGGACAGCTGTTCTTATCTTGTCTTTCCCCAAAAGCCTCAGGTAAGGATAGGTGCAAGCTTTACACAGCAACCTTTGCATCTGGTGGCAGATAAGAAGGCCCATGCCTCAGGAATTTATACACACACACACACACACACACACACACACAGAATTTATTGGGGGCATAGATAATTTATTGGGGGCACAACTATCTGCAACCCCTCCCCCTTCCCCAAATGGACTGCCATGAACATTACTCCTACTTCCTGTGACCAGGCACGCAAGACTGCTTCCTGTCTGCCACCTTTTCCGGTGTGCAGAACGTGAATAAGCCCTTTTTTCCTTGGGCCTTGTCTTTTGCGGGGGCAAGTCTGGCTGTACAGGCGGCCACTCCCAGGGAGGGAAACATACAATGCAGGATCCAATCCTGGTTCCCACAGGCAAGGTGCTCCAGCCCTTTGGGCCATTTCCGGGGCCTACTTGCACCCGCCCTGCCTGCTGAATATTGACTTTCAAGGGGTGAGCACCAGCAATGGAGTTCCGGCACAAGGCCGCCTTGGGCTGTGCTAGCCAAGCCTGTTCTCTTCAAGGAGGCAGAGGTTGAAGACTGGAAAAAACCCTAGCTCCCCTGAAGGGGAGGGCCGTCCAAGCGCCCAGCCTGCATCCCACAGAGAAAAGAATTCCATCCTTACCCCACGGTCACTCAGGGCAAATGTGAGAGCAGGAAGCCCGAGACTGATCCAGGCCCAAGGCTTCAGGCTGGATCAAGGAGTGGCATGTTGACCTCCAGGGCCTGGAACAAGTCTGGGGGCCCCGTGGCCCTCCTGGGGGCCCCTTCTGAGCTCTGACCCTGTGTAACCCTGGGCTTCTATCTGGGGACTTTGAGCCAGAACACCCCGTTCAGGACCTGAAGTCCCTGCAGAAGGGGCCAGGGCTCTGCACGCAAGAACAGGAGCTGGGGCAGGTGACCACTGCTCTGAGGACCAGGCACTGACGCACCCCACAGAGCAGCATCTGACTCCGCGGTACAAGGAAGAATCCATTCCGGGGCAGAGAGGGAAGGCTCCCCAGCCCTGGACCAGGGACAGCCAGATAAAAGCCACCCACCAAGAGGAGCCGGGCCTCAGAGCCCTGATGCTCGGGGGCAGGAAGGGGCGCACTGCGGAACGATCCCCCTCTTTCTTTCTGGGTGAGCTTTTCCAGACAATTAGTCTACTTCTGAGGAGGTTCCTTCCATCCACTGGCATGGTCCCAGAAGGCCCGGGCTGGTCACATGAGGCTCCCTCAGGATTCCCACCACTGCCCTCCCCTCAGGCCTCCTGCGTGGCTCACAGGGCTGGAGCATACGCTTTGCACGCAGGAACCCCGAGTTTCATCCCTGGCACTGCACGTTCTCCTGAGCATCACCAGGAGTTGTCGCTGAGTACCACTGGGTATGGGCCCAACACCTTCCCTCACAAAAACAACTCAGCCAAGCCCCAGGGGTGCAGGGAAGCAAGTCTGTGCCTCTACTTGCTCTCGGCAGACTCGGCTGCAGGAAAGTCATTTCGAACGCCCAGTCTCCTGGGCACTAAGAAATGGGTCCGATATGTGGCCGAAGGGCAGTGCAGGCATTAAGGCACTTGTCTTGCATGCAGCGGATCCTTCATGCTCCCTGAGCACTGCTGTAAGCAACCCCTGAGCACTGAGACCCCCAACACCCCCCCAACATACCACCCAAAAAAAGAAATAGGCCAGCAGTGGAGCCAGCTAGCTGCATGGCCACGAACTTGTCAGAGCAGTGCCCCGCAAAATGGGCGTTACATCACCATGAGTAAAGGGAGAGGCTCACTCAAGCACACAGACATGCACAGGCAATACACGGGCACAGGCAAACACATGCACGCAAACACAGGGGCCCACACAAACATGCGCACATACAAGCACCTGGGCACAGGCAAACACACGCATGGCCACCAGCAGGAGGACAGGCGCGAGAGTCCAGGGGGTCAGCAGAGGAAGCAGCGCAGCCCTGACTACGCGACAGCCCAGGCAGGAGAGACACACTGCAGCCACACTGTCCCCAGCCCATCCTCTGGAAGGAGCCCCCATCCTCCTTCCTAGTCCCCAGTGCTCTCAGCCTGTGAGGGGGCCCCTAGGGGTCAGCTCCAGCCTCTGCCCTCTACCAAGTGTCCTGAGGAACACCACCCCCACCTCTTCACGTGACTCCTTTCTCTGGCCTATAACCCTGCTTCCGGTGGGGGGGGGGGGTCTGGGTCCCTCCAGAGGTGCCAAGGGTCCCCCTCACTGTCCAGAGGCCTGTCCTACACACACAGACACCCCAGCCATCTCTGAGACTCTCGGGTTATGCCCAGAGCAGGCTGGCACCACCCATGGCCTCCACAGCCCGTGGTCTTCCTCTGGAGCAGTGGTGTGTCCCCTCCCCTCCCTACGTGGGGACTGCAGTGAGTCACTCCCGGCCAGACAACATCATGCAGCATAGCTGGACCCCCTCGGTCCCTCCAAAGGAACAAGGCCACTTGGCAATGGAGCTGGGTGGGCCTCCTTGCCCCCTGCTGCCAGCCCTGCACAGGGGCCATCCTCATGGACAGGGAGGACCTGCAGCTCCGGGACCAGAGCTCGGGGCGAGGGGATACAAAGGCTGAGAGGTACAGGATCAAGGGCACAAGGAAGTGTAGCTCAGCGAGGGGGGCGGGGAGGAGGTGCAAGGAGGGGCAGGGGCTGGGGGGAGGGCGTGTGGGAGAAACAATACCACTGGGAGGAAGCCCCAGCCCTCACCCAGAGCAAAGGGAGGCTGCGCCTTAGTGATTCAAGGCACCTCAGCGAGAGCCCCTTCCCCCAAGGCCTGGCTTACAGCCCCACCGGGAATACAGACAACCCCGCCTTCAGCCCTGCAAATCGCGAGGCAGGGGCCGGGCTTTCTGGGCCAATTGGCTGCCGCTGGCTCAGACACAGAGCCGGGACATTCTGTTCCCAGGCCAGGAGGCTCATGTGACACCTTCCCTGCCCCCGCCTGGGCCTGAGCAAATTGTCTACCTTGGGCCAGAGGCCGGGCTCCCCACAGGCCTGTCCATACCCCACGTGGGACGGGCACCAATGCGGTGGGACTCAGGGCCCCAATACCAACATTAGTCCTGCCCGCAGGGTGCCAGCACGGAAGCTGGGCATCTTACAAAGAAAGAGCTGGTCTCGCCTGGGCCTCTCCTAAGGCCACGCCCCAGAAGCAGTGTGGACTCCTCCTCTAGCTCTGCCTATGTGAGGGCCGGTGGGTTAAGGAGACAGCACCTGTGTCCACATTCCGGGCCCAGAAAACAGGTCCTACAGCAGGGGGCTAAATGGGGCAGAGACATCCCGGGCTCTCTCTCTCTCTCTCTCTCTCTCTCTCTCTCTCTCTCTCTCACACACACACACACACACACACACACACACACACACACAAACACACACACACACACCGTCTCCCAGGCCTGCAGAGTTCCCTTCTGAAATGGTGAGATGGTGGGATTGTCCAGCGGGTCCGCAGTCACCCACAGAAAGCAATGCTGGGGCCAGAGCAATAGCACAGTGGAGAGGACATTTGCCTTGCACACGGCTGACCCGGGTTCGATTCCCAGCATCTCATATGGTCCCCGGAGCACCGCCAGGAGTCATTCCTGAGTGCAGAGCCAGGAGTAACCCTTGAGCATCCCCGGGTATAACCCAAAAAGCAAAACAAAAACAAAAAAAAAAAAATCATTAAAAAAAAAAAAAGCAGTGCTTCAGCAGAGTGAGCCAGAGTGCCGGACATCAGGGTGCACCAAAGTTTGCTGCAAACAGCTCGGGGGCACAACACAACCTCTGCATTCCACTGCTGCAGAATGAATCTTGTGGCATCCCATATCATTCCCATGAATCACCACACCTGATGCCTGTTTGGATTTGGAAAGGCAGAAACGGGGCCAGAAAAAGCTCAACGGGGCGCGGGTGCATGCCTTGCCTGCAGGGCACCCGGGTTCGAGACGCAGCGCCACATGGTCCTCTAGGCACTACTGGAAGTGACTGCCCAAGCACAGAACTGGGAGTAGCCCCCAGGCACTGCTGGGTGTGGTCGAAACCATCCACCACCCCCAAGGCAAAATAAAACATAGAACGCTCTCTGGGCTTGCAGGCTGTACCAAGCCAGGTGTTGGGCCCCGTGGGCCAAGGCTGACCTGACCACTTCTTCCACACCCCCCAGGCCTTCCCTGAGAGTCCAGAGTGACACGCCCCCTCCCTGCCACCAAGCCCAGGACAACTGCTGCCTTGCAGGCTGGCCCGGCTCTCCCCTGCAGCCTCAGGGGGTTCCGGGGTGACCACGAGATGCCCGGAGAAGGTCTTACTCCAGCTCCTGGCGCTCTGCCTCCTCCGAGCTCAGGTCCTCCTCCACCCCGTAGTCCAGGATGGAGCCCACACCGAAGGTCCGATTGTGCTGGATCAGAGGCCTGATGGATTCCTGGTCTTCGCCCGCCACAAACTGCCCGTAGAAGGTCATCTTCATCAGCTTGTCAAAGAGCCTTTGCCCCAGAAGTTTCCTGGCCAGGTTGAGCAGCTGAAAGACAAAGACTGGGCCTGACTTCCCCTGTGCCCAGCATTCACCCTGCCCCTCCATTCCAACCCAGGGCCTTGACCCATTCTTCCCAGGATCACAAGTGTCTCAGGGTCCTGATTTTATGAGGGAAGTCACCCGAGGCAGCGGCTGCGTCCCTCGCAGCAACTGTCAATCACCCACAAGGGGCGGGCACAAGCTTGTCCTGCCACTGCGCCTCTGTACTCCTGCGCCAACAGGAAGCAAAAGGCTGGCATGACAGGGATCTCGGGAGGCAGCAGGGGGACGTGCCTCACTGCCTCTGGCTGCACACCTCAGCGGTTACCTGGCCCAAGAGGAGGATTAGGAGGAACTTGCTAGAAGGCAAGTGCCTGGATTCTGCAACGTCTCGAAAAATTTTTCCAAGTCCCTAAAATGGTGCTTGGCCTGGGGCCGGCCCTCTGTGGGCTGCTGAACACGTGAACACCGGCAGAGCGCAGAGAGCTCCAGGGTCTATCTGTGAGCCAGAAGACCACCTAGAATTGGCAGGGATGGGCGCGCATGCATTGGCCCGGCTCTTGGCCAAACAAAATAGACCAAGTGCTCCCATCCTAGCAGGGAGCCCAATGGAAGGCGCAGGGAACTCCGGGAAGTGATTCAGGAGGGGTCAAGGGCTGGCTGCCCTTGGGGTCTGCTAATTCAGATCCAGGGAGGAGAACAGTGCCAGGGCTCCCCGAGTGGGGACAGCCAGGACAAGAGGAATGAGGACAACCAGAGTCCTCTAAGGCCAAGAGGGGACATGTACGCCTGCCTGGAAATTTCTATGTCCACTCTCCCCCAATCCTGCCCCAAGACAGGAAAAATCTGAGAATTGATAGAGAGTAGCCCCCCTTCCACCACTTTTTTTTGGCTTTCTTGCTTGCTTGCTTTGGTTTGGGGGCCATACACAGCGATGCTCAGGGTATTCCTCCTGGCTCTGCACTCAAGAAACACTCCTGGTGGTGCTCAGGGAACCATATGGGATGCTAGGGATTGAACTCAGGTCAGTCACATGTAAGGCAAATGCACTACCAACTACACAATCACTCTGGCCCCTCCACTATTTTTTTTTTTGAGGGGTATGAGGTGGATCAGAATTTAGAATCAGATTTGGGATCAGAATTTCAGATTTTTTTCTTTCTTTTTTTTTTTTGGAGTTCTATTTGTTTGCTTTTGGAGGAGGGCACACCCGGTTGTGCTCAGAGTTTGCTCCTGGCTCTGTGCTCAGGGATCATTCCTTGTGGGTCTCAGGACCCATATGTGATGTGCAAGGGATAACACCCAGGTTGGCTGTAGTCAAGGCAAGTGCCTTTTCCCCTGACTGTCTCTCCAACTGTCTGGAAGCTTTTTTTTTTTTTTTTTTTTTTGCTTTTTGGGTCACACCTAGAGATGCACAGGGATGCACAGGGGTTATTGCTAGCTCCGCACTCAGGAATTACTCCTGGTGGTGCTGGGGGACCATATGGGACACTGGGAATCAAACCCGGGTTGGCTGTGTGCAAGGCAAATGCCCTACCCATTGTGCTATTGCTCCAGCCCCTGGAAGCTATTTCTAATCAAAGCAATAGGCTGAGAATCAAACCCCTCATCCCTGAACCCCACCAGCCTAAAGGCAGCTGTACTCGAATCACACTTTCCAATCACATGTACCTGGTGTGGTGGCCTAGGATGACGGTTACCTGGCAGCATCTTCGGCTTCCTGCCTTATTACATCTCATGTTTACAGGAAGGATTAGAAATGGCAAACATGAGTGCCAACACCAGACATACGCACTCTACATGCCCCCACCTCGCTCCAGAACCTGGGAAACCTGGGGGCTGGAGCACTGAAGCATCCTCCTGGTCCTGGGTGGGGGGGCAATGACAGGCCCAGAACCTCGTCAACATTACCCCAGTGTGAAGAGGGCAGAACTGGGGCCTGCAGACCATCACTCGGCTCTGAAAAGCAGGGTTCTACTGATGTTCCACGTATTATAACATGTGCAGAAGGGGGCTCCCAGCCCTGCAGGCTGCAGACCATCTTGCTCCTGGCCACAATCAACAAGTCCAGCTGTGTGAGGCCTTTGACGCAATGCGGTTCCTGTGCCAGTGGGCGTGAGGACAGCCACTGCTGCCACTGGCCCTGGTGCTGTGGGCTGGTGACCTCCACACGGCTTGGTGCTGACCTCCTGCACCCCAAGGGAAGGACTTCCCACCCTGGTCACCTAACAGGGTCACCCGCTTGCTCACCTTGGCAAAAGGAGGCCTGTCAAAGGCGGCGGGGCCTGGCAGGTACCTGCAGCCAAGTCCCATGTAAAGCTCTGAAACCTTCTTGGCGCCATCAGGTGTGCCCTGGATGACATGCTACAAGCCCAGGGCAACCCCCACCATCTGCGTCTGCAAGTGGCTTGTGGGTTCAGAGATGCTCTGGGCACTCATGTGCCCACTTTTGCAATGAAAGTCAGAGGACGTGGAATGGTGAAGGTGCTCCCTCTTTCTGCTCCTGTCCTCGGTGCCCCCACTGCCCACCCTGTCTGTGTCCGGCCCCCACTAGCACCCCCGCCCCGCACCAGTCCTAACCAAGGAAAGACTTGCATGTTCTAAATACTCCCAAAGGGTCATCTTCTGGCACATGCATGCCCCCCACTACGTCCCAATGATGATGCAGCCTGGCTCCTAAGGGCTGATGCCCTCCCAGGGAGCAGGCCTGACCCCTCCCCCACTACCCCAGTAGGTTTGGCCCAGAACCACCCAACTCAGCGGATCTCCCGAAGGCCAGAGGTCAGGGAGGGAGCAGGTCTGGACTGCGGCCCATTCCTCCAGACTGGGGTCATGGCCATGGCCTCCCGTGGGATAGGAGCAAGGGCCGTGGTAGAATGGGCTCAGTGGGGGCATGCAGGGCACCTCACACGTTTGATGGACACCAGGGGAAGTCAGCACTGCTCCCGACACCCCAGCACAGTCCCTCTCCAGCACTGGACAGCAGCCACCCGTGGCTCTGCGGGCTCTTCCACTGGCTTTAAAGCCAGGGTGGTGGCGCGGGTCTGGGCTCACCAGAGGCGGCAGTCCTGGCTCCAGGAATGTGCTGCCTGTCTTCCCAGAGACAGCTTTTATCACCCCCAATCCTCATCTGCCTCACAGCCCCCTGACTCTCCACCTCTGTAGCCAGGGGCCTGTCTTTGCCTTTCACAGACCCCATCTGTCGTGGCCTCGTCCTCCCCTCGTCATCTCTGTCCCCCGCAGCCTTCACCTCCCTCCTGCAAATGCTTGAGCTCCTCTAATAAATGGCATCACTGTCTCTCCCCACCCCATCCACTCCCCTGATCCCAAGTGTCCCTCCTGGTCCTCCTCCCTGGCTAGCCAGGAGTGTCTGCAGCCATGACTTTACCGGGGACATCACTGTCCACCAAAAACATGGAGAGGTTCACAGAGGCTCCCTCTGTCTAGTTTAGACCTTTCCCCTGTCCAGTTTGGACCCCCCGGGCCTCACCATTTAGTGCTCCGTTCTGAATGCAGCTTCAAAGCTCCCAGAGGGGGCTGCGCCAGCACCTGTGCGGGCTCAGTCTTCCCGATGGGGTGACCTCTTCCCCACCTTCCCAGCAGCAGTTTCACCTCTTCTGGAACCCCAAGGAAAGCTAGGTGCCCGCTGGGGACCCACCCTCCACCCCTAAGCACAGTCTCAGGGAGCAAAGAACACCCAGGACAGAGAAGAGAGTCTTTTTTCCTGACTCGGCTCAGGATTGCCATGAAATAATTAACATCTCTCTAAGCCTGAACGGTGCTAATATGTGTTCTGCTTCTTTACTTCCCCTGAGCGCAGAGAGTTTCAAAGTTGCCATGTTAACGTTTTCAAAGTTGGATGTCTGCCCGGCTTCCCATTTATTCGCCAAAGCTGTCCGTCCAGAGTGGCCCTGTCTGGGGAACCCCTGGGTCACAGCTTCTGAGAACTCGGGGATCCAGGCAATGAGTCCATCCCTTAGAGGGCTTCAAACCAGACTTCCCCGAAGGCAACATGAACAACGCTTCACGCTCAAGTTCTAGGAGCGAACTAGAGCCTAAAGGATACGTTGGTTTTCGATTGTAACAGGCAGCAGAGAACATATAGGAAAGTTTATGAGGCTCAAAACCAATGAGCTCGAAAGTTTAGGAGCGCAGGAAACGCCTCCCTTCCTGACTCCGAGGCTACCGGTCCCACTTCCCGGGACTCACGGAGGAACCCGCGGGGCGCCGGCCCGCACCCCTGCGCACCTGCCCGCCCCCACCGTGCCCACCGCGCACCTGCTCGTGGTGCTTCAGCAGCGCGGGCGAAGCGCACAGGCGGAGCACCAGCAGGTTGCGCGCCAGCTCCCAGCTGCGACGGCTGCGGTACGCCTCCTGCGTGTTGCCGAAGTCCACGGGGGGCAGCGGCGGCCGCGTGACTTCCTTGGCCCCGCGCCCCTGCGCGACCCTTGGAGCCGCGGCGGGCTGCTCGCGGGTGGCCGGCGCCGTGGACAGCGGGACGCGGCACGGGGTGCCGGAGCGCAGCGCCGACGAGATGCGCCTGAAAGCCATGGCCGGACGGCGGCCAAGAAAACGGGTGGCTTAAGTACACGCCGCCGGCCCCGCCCCGTTCCCCCGGCTCCGCCCCGCGCTCAGCCGCGCCTTCCCGGCAAACTCGGGCCAGCCATCCCGAGGCACCCCGTCGGCCTCCAAAGGGGCCGCAAGCCCGCGCTCGGAGCCGCGCCTGCCCGTCCCGCGCTCCTGGAAGGACCCGCGCCGGCTCCCAGAGAGGCCCCGCCCCTCACTCTGGCCCCGCCCCCTCCGGCAGGCCCCGCCCCGCCACAGAATCCGCGCCTCCTCTGGGGAGACCCCGCCCCTCACCCTGGCCCCGCCCCTGCATGCCCCGCCCCTCCCCGGTATCCACGGCTTTCTGGGGACCCTGCCCTGCACTGTAGTCCCGCCCCCGCCTGCAGGCCCCGCCCCGCCCCGGTACCCTCGCCTTCTGCGGGAGGAAACCCCGCCCCGACTCTAGCCACGCCCCCTATCGGGCATCCCCGCCCACCCCAGGAGAACGCCTTTCTCTGGGGAAAGCGCTGCCTCTCTCTAACGCACACGCCCCGGGAGAAGGAGGCTACGTCCCCGGCTTGAGATCTTAGGAGTTACGACCCACCTTTCCTGTGTCCGGCCACCACACACTCTTCCCCTGAGGCCCAGTTCATTCAAGTGTTGGGAATGATGAGAATCCCTTGGCCGACTCACCCCACGAGCCCGAGAACGGCTCCACGTGGTCCCGCATCCTGTGCACCGGTGGCCGCAGCTCCGAGCGAAATATTGTCCCCTTGGTTGCCCACCCGCAGCTCCAACTTCTCTGCAATGGATCAGGACTGAGGGCGCCCCTGCCACCCGCCGCACCCTCCATCCCCACCCCGTCACCCCGCAACATGCATGTCTCAGCTCCTCCGAGGTCGCGATCCCCATGATTCACAGCTGAGGCCACGTGCGAATGTAGGACTGAGGTCCTTTAACGATTTGTCCGACTCTTCCTCACAGGTTTTCCCAGTTCCTCTGCCCGCCCAATGGACAGACCGCCAGGCTTCCCTGGGTACCTCTAGACTGCCTAGTTACTACCGCCAACTCTTGGAGTAAATTTATTCTATACGCGGTGGCTCAAAAGGCTCAAGGGTGACAGTAGTGAAGATGATGGTATAGAAAACTCCAGGAAACTCCTGCCACCCAACAGCATCTGAACTAACAGGAGCTAACCTAAGAAATTACTTTGGGAACTATAGAATTAGTAAAGCACCTCCAGAGAATAGCCTGATAAAAAAAAAAGCTGGTGGATTTCTATTTCAGTCAATTTCCACCTTTAGCAGAGCAACTACCTTTGGCAAGCAGCTGAGAGGCCAGGGACAAGTTCTTCCAGCTCACAGCAACACTATTCACAACGGCAAACGCGGGGAGGTGATCTGCATATCCACTGATGAGTGGACAGAGAAACAAGCTGTGCTGCATTCAGACAGTGGAATATCTGTATGAAGTGTTGAAAGAGAGGAGTGGAGTGGAATACAAGTGGAATATAAGGAACGAAATATTGATGCAAGATACATGCAAATGACCTAGGGAATAATATACTAAGTTTAGGAAGCCAGACAGAAGGCCAGGAGCTGTATGATTCTGCTTACTTGAACATCCAGAGTAGACAAATTTATAAAGATATAAAGTAGGTCTGTGAGCAGGGGTGGAGAGATAGTACAGCCTGTCGGGCGCTTTCCTTGCATGCAGTCAAACTGGGGTTCATCCCCTGCACTGCATGTGACCCCCCCAAGCCCCACTAGCGGCACAGAGCCGGGGATAGCTGAGTGTGCTCCCCCCTGGTTCTCTGGAACGGGGAAGAATGGGAAGTGACTGCTAATGGGTATGGATTTGGGGTATGAAAATATTCCACAAATAGATAGGGATGATGTTTGCTTGTCCTTGTGAAAGTTTTGTGGGTTTTTTGTTCTATCTTGTTTTGGTTTGGGGGGAACTATACCCAATGGTGTTCAGGGCTTTCTCCTGGCTCTGTACACATGGCTCACTCCTGGTAGACTTGGGGGACCATATGGGATGCTGGAGATCAAACATGGGTGAGTTGCGTCCAAAACAAACAGCCTGCCCTTTATACTATCTCTCCAGGCTGACCTTGAGAAAATTTTAGAAGCTGTTCAATCAGGGGCTGGAGTGATAGCACAACGGGTAGGGCGTTTGCCTTGCATGCGGCTGACCCGGGTTCAATTCCCAACATCCCATATGGTCCCCTGAGCACCGCCAGGAGTAATTCCTGAGTGCAGAGCCAGGAGTAACCCCTGTGCATAGCCAGGTGTGACCCCCCAAAAAGCAAAAAAAAAAAGCTATTCAATCATACCCTTGAATGGGGTAAGTTGTATGATAGGCAAACTGTCACCGAATAAAGTTATTAGGGTACAACAAAGAAAGATTCAGTTATAGCACTACCAGCAGTCCCTGCTGAGCATGAAACCGTGAAATGTCTTGTCTCACCTATCCTGTGAATACCTATTCCACTCTCTGCTGGACAGCAGCTGGCATATGCCCCGGACCCAGATCTCAATGGGAGTGAGTGATAGGCTGGAGGAGTTGGGAGGTCCCCCAGGAGGTCAGCTGAGGGAGAGAGGAAACTCTCAGATCAGAGATGTGGGGTCTTTTTTTTTTTTTGGTTTTTGGGTCACACCCGGTGATGCACAGGAGTTGCTCCTGGCTCATGCACTCAGGAATTACTTCTGGCGGTGCTCAGGAGACCATATGGGATGCTGAGAATCTAACCCGCTTCAGCCGCGTGCAAGGCAAATGCCCTACCCATTGTGCTATCCCTCCAGCCCCATTCCTGAGCTTCTAAGTGAGAAATGGTGACACCTCAGGTACTAGGACTTGTGGTCACTCTCCCAACCCCAATGAGGTTGGGCCACGCAGCAAGGTTAGGAGCTGGCAGGGATACTGCAGTGAGGGTCAGAGTTAGCGGGTAGCCACCTGGGTCACCGTAGGGTTTCGACCTACCCTCTGCACCCTCACTTGTTGACATACTCCTCCCAGACTGTCCTCCATCAGTGTCCCTCCTGGGTCCCATCTGCTGCAGAGACCCAGTGAAATATCTGTTTTCACTGCAGCCATGAGCATGACATTGGAACTCTGTCAAAGTTATTATTTTGTTGTGTGCCTCTTACCCATACTTCCTGAAATATTAGGCCAAATTGCGGCTCTCTGCGTCAGGATTCATTCTGATTTATTGCGTTTTTGCCGTTTGCTTGTGCCCTCTTTTACTGATAGATTTGCTCTGTCTGCACACAGTGGAATTCATTCACATTTGTTTAATTTGGGCTTGTCTTCCCTTATCGGCCTGCAACAAACTCACCCAGCCTGCCCTGCCTGGCGCTCGGGATTCCCTCACTGGCACGTTATTCTCTTATCCACTCCTTGGGGCATCTACAGCTTCTGCTTGAGAGCTATTTAGCTATGCAGTTTTATTCCTTTTATTTATTTTTTTTTAGAGGTAGTCAAATAAGACTGCATTTCCTGATGCTCAGATTATCTGCTAGATCCCAGGGCTCTCTGCTATGTTTGTGAAAGCAATCCCGAGGCAAAGGACTTAACCCCTGGGCTTTCTATGAGTTCCAACATTTGCCACTTTTAACCTTTAGGTGAGGAACTGAGGCTTCTCAGATTTGTTTGCTTTTGCTATGAGGTCATACGCAGCAGTGCTCAGGGCCTCTCTGCTGGAGGGGGGATTATTTCCAGCAGTGCTTTGGTGACCCGCTGGTCCTGGCATTGAATCTGGGGCTCCTACATGCACTCTAGTCCTTGGGGCTCTCTCCCAGCCTCCCCTGGTTCCTTCCCAAGGAAAGCAGCATAGACTCTGTGCGCTGGCAGCCGCAACATTTCACCCTTCCCCTCTAGCAGCTACAATTTCTGTCCTATCTTACTCGCGGGAAACTGAGGCTCAAGGTAAGAGTCATGCCCAAGGGCAAGATCTGAAGCCAGGACCACTGATCCCAGAGCGCCCTCCCACCTTTTCCAGTTGCCTCACGCCAGGTCCACAGAGTCCATCACCCCCGTGTCACCCCAGACCAGCTCCAGAAATCACACACTGGCTCAGCCAATGCCAAGGCCATTGGAACACTGGGACACTGAACAAGGCCATCCCTATGCCAGGGGATTGCCCGGGCAGGAAACTGCAGGTGGCATCGTGCCAGGCACCTGGTGGGGGTGAGGCCATTGTCCCCTGTGTCCAAAGCCATGAAAGGCTGCTTATATAGACCCTGGCTCAGGCCTGCCCTTCACCCCCTGTGAACAGGAAGCCAGCCAGCAGTCTCTGTTTTAGCCTTTCTTTCCATGGCTGCTATTAAACACTTAAATATATATATGTGTGTTTTTAAATATAAGTGTTATATTTAAATATATATATACATATATTTCATCTGGGCGCCACAATCAGCAATTCTCAGGGACTCTCCCCAGCTTGATACTTGAGGATCACTCCTGGTGGTGCTGAGGGGACCACGCGGTGTCAGGCAGTAGCCAGACCTTCCACTTGTGAAGCCTTTGCTCCAGCTCACTGAACCCTGCCTGAGCTTCTTTTTTTATTTTTTTCCTTTTTCTTTTTGGGTCACACCTGGTGATGCTCAGGGGTTACTCCTGGGTTAGACTCAGGAATTACTCCTGGCGGTGCTGGGGGACCATATGGGAACAATATGGGATGCTAGAGATCGAACTCAGGTACCCGCTGGACTATCGCGCCAGTCCTGGCCCCAGCTTCTTGAAATAAAACAGAGGGTTTTGATTGCTGTTTGCTTTGGGGAACCACACCCAGCAATGCTTAGGGCTTACTCCTGTCTCTGTGCTCAAGGATCACTCCTGACAGACTTGGGGGATCATATGGGGCACCCACCGAGGATAGAAAGAATGTGGGTCTGCCACATGCAAAGCAAGCGCCTCCCTTGCTGTACTATGACTTCCATCCCCAAAACAAAAAGGTTAGTAAGAAAACAAGCGAGTGTGGCTGCCCCGCTCCCTCCCTCTGGAGACTCCTCTGGCCACATGCAGAGACCCCCAAGCAGAT